GCGCTCCAGGCGAAGAGGTCGGCGTTCTCGCGGAGGCAGGCTTGGAGCTGTCGTTTCGCGAGGTCTGGGAGTCCGGCACCTATCCGCACGGTTCTGCTCGTGTCTTCCCCGAGAGGGATGAGTTCGAATTCTCCGTCCGGGATGGGGCGCGCTGGGTGTGAGGGCTGCCCGTTGACTTCGCTGGTCTTCGTTTTGGGGTCGAGCTCGTCGGTGAAGCGACTGTCGAGTTCCACGTATCCGACTAGCTTCTTTGGTTCGCCTTTTGGCGTTGTGTTTGAAGTTGACTTCTTGGTCGCTGGAGCGATGGAGTCTAGGCCTTTCAGCGCGGCCTCAAAACAACTTCGAGCGACCTCGATGTCTCCGTTAAGGGTCACCACGGCCCCCCGTCTTGTGTAGTATTTCATCTTCAGGTGGACGGTGGAGGGTACCGCGGTGAGCTCTGCTATCGTTGTCCTGCCCATGATGCAGTTATAGAGGGATAGGCACTCGATGACTAAGAAGCGGATATTGATATCCCTAGCTGTTTCTTCTTCTCCGAAGGTGACTTTCAGTTCCACGTATCCCCAAGGTCTCGTCGTCGTTCCGTTGAACCCATGAAGGTCGGATCCTACGTAGGGGGAAAGGTTGGATTCGTCGAGCTGGAGAGTTGTGAACAGGTGTGCGTACATGATGTCGACCGAGCTTCCGCCGTCGACGAGGAGGCGTCTGACGTCGATGTTCACCATCCTTGCACGGATGAGCAGAGGAATGTTGGAGTTAGGGGATTCCCCGGGGAGTTCCTCGAGGTAAAATGTGATCGGATTGGACCGGCCTTGGAATTTCTCGAGCGTGCTCATTTTGCCGGAGTTATTCGCGATGAGTTCGTCGAATTTTCTCTTCACAGATCCTATGGACAGGCTCCTCGTGGCTCCATCAGAGATGACCATGGCTCTGGGAAAGTACTCCCACCGGCTAGTTGGTCGGATTGGCTCGTCGATTAGGTCGGGTTCTTTGGGAAGACCGAATTCTCTGTCCGCGAACCAATCCTCTGGGCGGCCGACACACAGTGCGACCTGGAGCCTGCTGTTGTCCTCTGGTAAGGGGAGTTCCTCGACCTTCTTGGCCTCTGGGGCCTCTTGCCTCGGTGGTTCGCCTCCTCGGGTGCATCTCTTCAGGTGACCGTCTTTGATCAGAATTTCGATCGCGTCTTTGAGATGAATGCAGTCTTCTGTCATGTGCCCGTGGCTCCTGTGGAATCGGCAGTATTTCGATTTGTCCACGTTGGGTTTGGGGGGTGTTGGTCACGGAAACCGGACACCTCCCTGTACGAATTCGGTTTTGGCGCATTCGGCCAAGATGCGCTCACGGGAAGCGGCTAAGGCCGTGTACTCTGTGAATCAGCCGACAGGGCCGCGCGGTTCGCGTTGTTCGCGGGACTCGCGAGGGCGGTCTTCGCGACGGCGGTCCCCTCCCCGCCGATGGCTCGAGGCTCCGTCGTCCCGGTGCCCGCGGGGGGCCTCCCTGTCTCGGGTGTCTCGAGCGGAGTTGGCCGCTTGTGTTTCTTCGAACCGGATATAATGCGCGGCTCTATCGAGGAAGTCTTGGAGGGATGTTGGCCGGTGTATGCCAACGGCCTCGTAGAACTTGGAGTCGTGGCGTAGACCCTGTTCCATTAAGTAGCGCTTCATCTCGTCCGACGTCGTCACTTGCACTGCTTCTCGAGTGAATCTTTCGATATACTTTCGGAGAGGTTCGTCGGGGCCCTGGATGATTGCCCCGAGGACGGCCTCCGTCTTCGGGTGGCGTCGGGACGCCGTAAAATGTTTGGAGAACAGGTCCTTCAAGACTCTCCATGATGTAACTGATTCGGACTCCAGACTTTTGTACCAGGTCATGGCGCCTTTCCTCAGAGTCGTCGGGAAGAGCCTGCACTTGATAGCTCCCCGGACGTTTCGGTAGTCGAGCATGGCTTCAATGTCTTCTAGGTGATCGTCCGGGTCTGAGGTGCCATCGTACGTCGACAGCGTCGGTGGCTTCTCCATCCCTTGGGGTATGGGGCAGCCATGATTTCTCGGGACAGCGGGGTGCGATAATCGTCCTCGTCGCTGGGTGCCGGGGATCGATGGGGAGACGAGCCGTTCAAAGTAGGCCCCTGGTTTCGGGTTCTCGACCTCCTGCCTGAGTTTTCGCCTCGGGGATCCCCGGTCGGGATTGCCGCGGTGCTTTGGTTCCTCTCGCGAACTTGTCTTGCTGGGGATCTGGTGCGTTCTCGCGCTACCTGTGCGCGGTGTCTCTCCAGCCGTGGCCGACGATTTCTGGGTCGAGGTGAGGGACTCCTCGAGCCTCCGTTCTGGTCTTCCCGCGGGGGGTACCTCGGAGGGTCGACGCGTTCCAATGCTCCAATTCTCGCGTTTTGCTGGGCCAGCAGCTGGTTCGTCTGGTTGATGGCCGCGAAGAGGGCGGCCACCGTCGGGTATGCTCCCGCCGGGATGGGAACGGGTTGGAATGCTGGCGGACCTGGGGGCCGGTGGTCGGCCTGAAGGGGCCGCTCTGCGGATGACGGCGAGGCAGTTTGGCCGTCCCTCTCATCGGTTTCCGTCGGACGCGTCGTTTCCATCTGCTTGTTTCCGTTGGTGGCGACGTTGAGCGCGAGGTCGTGCGGAGTGTCGTCGCGGTGTGTGCTAGCCATGATCGTGGAGTGTTGGTGAAACTTTGGTTTTCTGCTCGGAGTAACGGGGAAGTTTCTGTTCCCACAGACGGCGCCACTGATCTGGCCTGATCAGAAGGGGATCACGGACCGGCCACACTCTATTGGACTGCTGCGTGCTCACCGGTGCTGAGGAGAAAAAAGGGGGGTGTACCTGCAAAACACTCTGATGCCAAAGTAAGAAATTGGGCAGAGCGAGAGCAAAGTACAGAAAGAGGGGTAATAAGTGTGTTACTTGACCCTCTTGAGGAAGAGGGTATTTATAGAGAGACCCCAGCGCTGGGCCAACGGTCATTTGAGATGGGCTGGATGACCAGGCCCAACCCTAATGACTGCTAGGGCTTACGTGGCGTAGTGAAGACCAGGACGTGGTCTTCGCTCTAGTCCAACCGCTCCTAGATCTCTGGAAAGTGGGTTTGACCTGCTCTTTCGAAGGTGGGCAGTTGGTTGATGACGTGTCCCCGCGGAGGGGAACACGTGGAGAACGCGCGCCGGGCACGTTGTCCTCCCCGCGGAGGGGAGCCCGCGAGGTTCCCCGGAGGGCGTTGTTCTCCCCGCGGAGGGGAGCGCGAGGACGGGGAGGAACCAAAGGCCTCGCTTCGATGCGCCGGGGTGTGTCCTGTTCGGCCGATTAGAGGGGACGTCGAGATGCTGTCGGACATGTCGCCTGTGGCCGGTGGTGCGCTCTGCCCGTCTAGCAGGACGCGCGTGTCCGGCACGGCCAGTTCACTTATTGGGCCGTGCGTGTTATTGGGCTGGACTGAGGTCGGGCCCAGACCAGAACAATATATATATATATATATATATATATATATATATATATATATATATATATATATATATATATATATATATATATATATATATATATATATATATATATATATATATATATATATTTTAATTTTCTTCTTCAAAGAAAACTTTTCACATTTATATAAAATCTTTAATACTTTAGACCTCACTTCAATAATTTCACCATCCAACCAACCAGCATCATCGCCCTTCCTCTATCCAACAAATGCCTCCCTTTTTATTCAACCGTCATCCGCTTTTCCATGACAATTCACAATCACAATATATTTTATTTGTTTTAGTTAAAAATAAAAACATGAATATTATGTTTGAATGTTATTATATTTTAGTTTTAAAAAATTAATGTGATTGAATTTTATTGTTAAATTGAAGGCAAATTGTATGAATGACATACGATAATAACTTTTTGTCTTTAAAAAAAACTAAAAATATTTTTTTTAAAAATAATTAAAAAAAAAATTATCAGTGAATATCTCTAAATATCCACCAATAGCTTTAAAACCTGCGAATTATCCACTTAACGAATGCTCACACGAATATGGACGGATATGAATATCATATTTATTCAACGGAACGGACACAAATATCCATTTCCATCCCTACTTGGGGTTTAATGACTAAACTCATCTAAGGTTTCAGTGACTTATCTTCAACAATACTTATAGTCAACTGGGCGTTGCAATTGTGTTTGGATCTTCTCCTGCCCTTGTCCCCAGCTTTCCCTGCTGCTCTAAATCCAATGGTTCAGAAATAATAAAATACTAATTTTTAGAGGAAAGATAAAACCAGAAAGTAATTCAAAGGCTACAATTAGTGCTGTTTATAGGACAGTAGAGAATAAATTGGAGAGGATCCAGATCAATCCGTTGCAATTTCATGTAAAAAGTTTGTGGGACACAGATACCTTATTCACATTCACATTGAATCCAAAGTTGCAGCACAAAAACACTGAACCCAAAGTACCAAAACTCCAAAATATGACATTAACATGACTAACCTTGCAAGCCAAGTCATTTACCTGTCTTTGTACCCTCGTTTTCCCCTGCAATTAATGTCACATATATTATGTACAAGGTCCCATGAACAAATTGGTTGAGTATACTATACACTAACTGTACACTTTCAGGGCCTGAACCATACAATAAATATTAAATAGTTTGCCACATGCTCTCTCTGATGGTGATGAGCTCTCTGAATTGATTTTGACTCCACTCTTTTACTTCAATAAATAATATTAAATATCATGTTCATCCCTAGGGAAGGGTGAAAAATTCATTTACCCCTAAAGTTAAAGGCCAAAGTTTATATGATGAGATGTGATCAACAAGCATGCCTGTGTTATATGAACAAAATTCCAATGTACACTGTCAGAGATTCTGCTATATCATGAAGATCCTCATAAATATTCAAACCTAACCTGAGAACATAAACTTAATCGGACAAATTTCTCATAAATATTCAAACCTAACCTGAGAACATAAACTTAATCGGACAAATTTTACATGAGGGGAATATCCTGGATAAATTTGTTCCACATTTCAGTTGTAACAGAGACCCTTAACTGTGAAGCAAGTGCAATTTCTTCAGCATTAAAACTAAGACCCTGATACTGGTTTTGGGTCTCGACATTTGTTTTCGGATGTATTTCCACCTCAGATGGAGGTAGTGAATCCACCAGTGTAAATGATGCATCTTTATCATACATCTTAAAAATCCAATCATCTGGTTTTTCCCCACGGATGTAATTGTGTAATGCACAAGCTGCTACCACCAACTTTACCTGTGTCTGTAATGGATATGAAGGAGCTGCCATCAATATAGGAAATCGCTCCTTTAAAGCCCCAAAAGTTCGGCCGGTGACATTTCGTAATAACGAGTGTCGTTGATTGAACAGCTCACATGCATCCTGTGGGTGGTAACCACTGGGAAAATCCTTGGAGTGATAGGGAGTACGAGGATATGGAGCAATGAAACCTGGCACGTTTGGATACTTGTTGTCTACAAGGTAGTATTTACCTGTGTCATAAAAAATGTTTAATCCAATATTTGATGTAAGAGTTATAAGTGTATAAGCGCAACTACTATTTCAATTCTATCTTAAGTTTAACAATAATAGCTGCAAACTCTACATATTAACTCCACACCAGTAACCTAAACGAGTAAATGACATTACCATCTACTAACTATCAATCTATTACAGCTACCACCAAATAAAAGCACAGTTATTAATAGCGGCCGCTCCAAGCGCTATCCCAGGATTCTCTCCTGGTGCGGCAACCCTCTGCTACGGAGGAGCGGCGCGCATTCCAGTTTTGGATAGTGGCCAGGAAAGCTGGGATTGCGGGTTGCTGGAGCAGAGCGCTTTCTCTCCCGGAGCAGTTTTCTGCTTTTAGGGCTTTTTTTGAGTGCGAAAAGAACTTTTAACCCTTACAAAAATTTAAAATTGGAAAATTTATTATAGTCGTTCATGTTTTCTCCACTCTCATTCATGTTTTAACCTTTCTCCATCGTGTTTCTTTTGTTCGCTGCTTCTCGTGTTTTGTGCACGCTGCTTCTTATGCCCTAACTCCTCCGCCTCAACTACTTCAAGCTTCTCTCTATTCTTTTTCTATTCTCCTTCTTCTCTACTTCTGTTTTCTACCTTTCTATTTTGTTCTCTATCTTGTTCTTCTCTATTCATTGTTTTTCTATTCGTTTTGTTTTTTCTTTCATATCATTGTTTTTTTTCTTTCTTTTTAAATATATTGATTTTGGGATTAATATATGTAGATTATTCATATAATTAGTCCAAAACATTATTTAATCTACATTAAATATATAGGTAGGTTTTTCATATAATTAGTCAAAAAAGTTATACCGCTATCCCGCTATCCCATTTTTGGGGTTGGCCGCTTAGCTCCGCTATCCGGAATTAATAACTCTGAATAAAAGTTAAAAGTTGAGAACAATAAAATTAAAATATATCTTCAAGTCATTGCAGTTAAAGGATAGGTGATAAAAATTGATTTAGAGGTATTTATTTTATTTTTCAAACCAAGTTAATGGACATGTACAGTGCGCACATAACATCAAGTAACCCAACAATTGTCAAGAGATAGAACTCTTATATAATTGCTACCCAAATCAAATTACATTATACAACAGATAAGTATTACTACCTTCGGGGACCTGCAACTTATTCCTCCTAGTGATTGCAGAATTAAAAACTTGTAAGTTTGTGGCAGACCCTTCCCAACCAGCTAAAACATAACAAAACTTGAGGTCAAATGAGCATGCTGCCAGAACATTTTGTGAAAGTAACCCATCGGGATTGCGGAAAGGTCCTTGTTCATCTACACCAACTGTCACAGGTACATAAATACCATCAACAGCTCCCACACAATCCTATTACAGAACAATAAATAAGACCAGTGTTGTCAATTCTAGATAGTTGAAAATAACAGTTTGTTCGAGTTCTACTATTTGACAGCACTTTGTATCAATGTTGTCAAATAATGCTTATAGCTGCAACATAACGCTCAGGGCCTTTTGAAGGCGTGCACGGCTGACTACCGCATTGGGCGCAAAATTAGTTACGATTAATCAATGGCTAAAAAGGGCCTCATAAAATGTTTCTCACATGAAAATCGTTGTTAAATAGGACTACTTTTTATTTTACCATGCTTGAACTGAGACTAACCTACACAGGATCTTCAAAATTTTAAGACGACTCTGATAGCGCTATAATAAATCAGAATTTTAACAAAAAAACTATTGTTCTACGTTACATATTTAGTAGAGTGTTGTCAAATAGTGGCAATATAGAAACCCGGTAACACTCTAGCAAAGCGAAATTTGAACAAACCACTATTTTCTACTATCCAAGACTGATAACACTCATGTGTACTAAATTTCGTATTGTGAAACAATAACTATTTGTTCAAATTCTGCTAGAGGTACAATGTCTATTGGATAACAAAGTGAGACACAATCAATCCCAAACAACATGCATATCAAACTAATTAATCAAAATCTTACTTTAAAATAAGGAAAGAATCTATGATCTTCAGAGATTACTGAATGAACATCCGAGCTAGGCGGCTGAAAATACTCCTTCGAAATCGACATAATCGCATTCAAAACATTATTAAAATGCCGACTAATCGTTTCACCAGAATAATGAAACAATTCTTGAACAGCTCTAATTCTCAGATTATGACCAATAATGAACATAAACATAGCTAATTGCTCTTCAATTTTGATTCGATTCGTGTCACGCAATAAACCCTTGGTTTCTAGAATATCACATAACTTGTAGAATACTTGTTTATCCATTCGGAAATTATCCAAACAACGTTGATTTGGACCATTAAGTACTTCATCAACAAATTTTGCACCACTAGATGATAAACGAGTTAGTTCCTTAGGTGCATGATTACCAGTTACGACGTCGTTTTCTTCATCGGAACTCTCCATTACGAATTGGAACTGTTTTCAATGGAATTTATAGGTTAGAAAGTAGAATTAAGGAAATTGAAATCGAAATTAACGTCAATATTTAGGGTAAAAATCGAGTTGGAATCATAGTTGGAAGAAAAAGGAGAACATAGAACGGAAAATTATTACCGTTTCAGGCAACCGGCGACCGGCGACCGACCTTGGTAGGGCTTCCGATGGGGTTTTTGGTTTTTATCGGCAGTTGAGTTCAGTGCGGCACCAAGGTGTTTTTTCTGATACAAACCCAAAGTGGCAATGGCTGCATTTTTAGTTTCTTATTTTTGTCTAGTATTAATTTATAATTTATTTTGTTTAATTAAAATGATCATTGTCAATGTGGTTTGTGTTATACGAATGAACCCAACTTCCTCAATCGGTCAAGAGTAACCATCTTTCAATTATCATTTTTGAGGATGAGTATTTGATCGGTCTTAAGTTCGGTAAACACAACTTCTATGGTAAGGTAATCTGGCCTAAAGTTCACCATCCTTGAAGTACGATGCCTTGCAAAAAATGGAAGTATATGAAGAAATGGAGAGTAATGTCGCTTGGTAAGGGCTTCTATGAACTTTCTTTTTCATTTCTGGAAGATTTGCAAAAGGCCCGTTCCTCTAGATCATAGAACCTAAACTTTGTTGAAAATTCATCTCACACTCTATGAAGAATTTCATTCAATCTTGATCTCAAAGATTGATGAACAAACCCACAATATGATAATAATGGTCATAACAAGTAAAGAGTTATCAAAAACAGCAAAAGAGAAGAAGAATAACAAGCAAAGAGTAAGAAAGAGAAGAATGAGAGAAGAAATATTAGGAGAAAATTGTGTTACCCACAGACCGTGGGATTTCTGATTACTATTGAACTTTCACTTGCTAAATTCTGCAACTGTGAAATCGGTTCTATGTTGAATACAAAGCAAGCACCCTATTTATAGTTTTAAGTTTACAAAAGCTCAAAACATAAAAGGCTCAAAATATTCAAATCAAATCTAATCTAAATCATATCAAATCAAATATGTTTCGACACACTATGAATTACATTTAACACACCACCTAATTCATTGTGTCTAAATTGTCTACATTCATCATGGCTCTTAGTCTTCTGAAGGCTTCGACCTGCACTCCCTTCGTCATGATATCTGCAATCTGATTCTCAGTTTTGCAGTGTTCCAACTTCATTTTCCCTTCTGCTACCTGCTCTCGAAGATAATGGAACCTCATTTCGATGTGCTTGCTTCGACCATGAGCTATTGGATTCTTCGCCAAGTTGATAGCTGACATGTTGTCTATCTTCATGGTAATTGCTCCATGATTCTTCCCTGTGATTTCTTCGACCATGCTCACCATCCAAGTTGCTTGACATGCACAAAGAGAAGCAGCTATATATTCTGCTTCGCATGATGACAATGCCACTACTGGTTCCTTTCTCGAATTCCAAGCAACTAGTGCACCACCTAACATAAACACATACCCAGCTGTGGATTTTCGATCCTCAGCATCATTACACCAACCGGAGTCTGTGTATCCCACTAACTTGCATTCTTTTCCTTCATCAGCTGCTGGAAATAAAATGCCATAGTCGAGAGTTCCTTTTAGATACCTCAGTATCCTCTTCACCGTTGCTAGGTGTGATACCTTTGGCTTCTGCATGAATCTACTTACCATACCAACATTGTATGCTAAGTCAGACCTTGTGTGACAAAGGTATCTAAGTGACCCAATAAGTCTTCTATATTGGGTTGGATCGACATCATCTTCATTTGAATCCTTTGACAGTTGCAATTTGGGCTCAGCTGGAGTCGAAGTTTGGTTGCAATCTTGCATCTCAAATCTCTTGAGTATCTCGCCTGCATATCTTCTTTGGTGCAGCATCAAACCTCTACTTGTCTTGTAGAATTCTATGCCAAGGAAATATGAGAGATTTCTCAAGTCTGACATTTCAAACTCCTTACTCAGGTCATGTTTGAAATCTTCGATCTCCTTCTTGCAACTCCCTGTTATCAACAAATCATTAACATAGAGACATAGTATAAGCAATTCGCCATTGCTTCTTCTTACATATACTCCATGCTCAGTTGTACACTTCACAAATTCCTTCTCCCTTAAGAAGCTGTCGATTTTCTTATTCCAAGCTCTTGGAGCTTGCTTAAGTCCATACAGGGCTTTATGAAGCCTGTACACCTTTCTTTCTTCGCCTTGTTTCACAAACCCAGCTGGTTGTGCAACATAAACTTCTTCGTCTAAGGGGCCATTAAGGAATGCACACTTCACGTCCATCTGACATGTGTGTCAGTTGCTCATATTTGCTAGACCAACAACCAACCTGATTGTTTCGATTCTAGCAACAGGTGTGAATACTTCATCGAAGTCGATTCCTTCCTTCTGAAGAAATCCTTTCGCCACAAGTCTCGCCTTGTGTCGAGTTACTTCTCCTTTAGAATTTACCTTCACCTTGTAAAACCACTTCACATCAATTGCCTTCTTGCCTTGCGGAAATTCGACAAGTGACCAGGTATCATTGACTTCGATGGACTCCAACTCTTCATCCATTGCTTTCATCCACTTCGAATCTTTCAATGTCTCAGCTGCATTGACTGGTTCGACATCTGCGTAAAAAGCATAATGTACCAGCTCACCTTCCTCATCGACTACATCATCTGATGTAATTACACATTCTTGCAACCTTGCAGGCATGTGTCTTGTTCGTCGAGATCTGCTTGAACCTGCTTCATCTGCAACTGGTTTCTGTTGAACTTATATTTCGACTTCAGTGGTTGGTGTCGCAGTGAAATTTGGATACCAAGCTATTGATGAGCTTGAATCTTTAATTCATTTGCAACCGAACTTTGATTTGTCCAAAGGAAGGGATAAAGATCGAAATACCCACAATGCAGTGCAAATGCAAGCTAGAGAGTTATAGGTTCGGGGATTGGTTAAACTTAGGGAAGGTGTTAGCATCCTAAGTTTCTGCAGTACTCTACAGGAACCTCTTATTTTATGTTTGTTTTATTGCTAAGCGTTATCTACTTAAGGATGAAAGACCTAGGGATTTATTTCTAAGTATACTCGATAAGATATCGCATCTTATGCCTACATATCCTTACGGGAGTGGAATCAGAGTATTTGTAGTTCCCCTAAAGGGTTTAAGGAGTTCTTTGACTGTGGTCAAAGTTCCTACGGGTTCAGGGTAGTTGATTGATTGATTTTAGGAGAAAAGATGAGTTGTCATTTTAAGGGAGATCACTTGACTTAAACCACCACAACGTTGTAGGAAAATTGATTATGTTGTTATGGGGTAGAAGTTTTATCCCACTTAAGATGATTAACATCTTATTCTCTAATGTGTTTGAGAGTTTGAATTGAGTTGAATTGTTTATTCTAAGTTGTAAAAGATAGAGGTCCTTCCTATGGAGTAGGATCTAATCTTAAGAGATCGACTTGAATGAGATAAAGGATCAAAATAGGGAATGATGCAAGATGAGATGCACTACACACAAGCGTTGCATCATGTGTAGGTTCTTCCTTTGGACGGAATGCAATGCGATAAAAGTAAATTGTTGTGAAATAAATTGCAATGATAAAGAGCAGATAAAACCATACATACGCATGAAAGCGCTAGGGTGTAAGTGAGTGGATTGTGAATGTGGACGGATGGGAGCGAGGAGCAAGCGTGCACGATTGATTGAGTTTTACGATGTTGGTTCATTTTTAGTCGAAATTGATCTTGATTATTTTAAGAAAATGGTTGAATTGATTTAAAGGGAAACAAATTTTAAGTGAGATTAAAATGTGAGATAAAAGGTTTGATATACTAACTGATTTTTATTTTTTATCTCAAAAAATGATTATTTTATAAAAGCCATGGTTATTCTTAAAAGTTAATTATTGATTATATAAAAAAGGTTGTTTTTGTTGTTCTAAGAAAACTAGATTGGTTTTATTATTAATTAGATAAATTGCAATTAGGTGTAAGTAATTTATAAAAGTTTTTTTAGTGAATAAACATATTATAAAGTTCTATTAAGTTGATTAAAAAAAAGAATTAACATGGATTAATTTTATTAAAAAATGAGTTTTCTAGTTATTAGGATAAAAATTAAAGGGATTGATTAAATTGATTTTTAAACAAAAAGATTCATTAAAAGTGAATTAACAAAATAATTAAATAAAAAAAGGATTAAGATTAAATAAAAGATATTGGTTTATTATAAAAAAAAAGATTTATTAGTTATTATTTTAAATAAAACTGAGTTAATTGAATATTAAAGGTTTTAAAAACAGATTATAGTTTTTAAAAAAGATTAATTAACTGTTAATTATAATTAAGGCGCAGATCTGGTGTTACGCAGTGCACTGGTTTATCATGGGCGTGCAGTATGGTCTGTGTGATCAGGGAATAAGTGAATCGTGTGGTGATAGTGGTGAGGGGACCACGGTACTACCGTGGTCGTGCACGCATATAGTTTATCAAGTTACAGCACAATTGAAACAATCAGAAACACATGGAAAACAAACACAAACGGTGGAAAAAAACCCTAGCGGAGCCACTCGTTCGCTCGGTTTCTCCCATCGATCAATCTCTCTCTCTCGATCGTTCACTATGGTGGTACCTGAAACAAGGATCAAAGCGTCAATCATTCAACAGTATAAAAAAGAAGTATGGAGTTTTACCGACGATGAATCAGCGTATGAAGCGCGATTCCGGCGATGGCGTTGATCTTCGAAAGCTTCGGCGAAAAAAGATGAGTTCTCTTCTTTCTTTCTTCGATTTGAGTTGTTTAGGGTTTTTACGGTGATTTCCACAACGTTCACGAGTTCTCTCCAAGAGTCCTCTTCTTCGATTCGAAACCCCTCTTTTATAAGCGAGTTGGGTTTAGGAGCTATCATCATGGCTTAGGGAACTGGTGAATTGAACTGGCAAGGGCTGCGAAGTACTTCACGAACTGTTCCATGAGTCTGCAGACATTTGAACCTGAG